ATGTATGAATACATATTTTATACATTATTGATTTCCTTTGGTTTCCTGCTTTTAGTTGCTCTGCTTTCTCTCACGGATCAGCCGTCGGGTTCAGCAGCCTCCGTCTTTCTGCCCCATGCTTCCACACAGCAGACGCCTGAACCCACGTCCAATAGTCATCATGCCGCCCTGCTGTGTTGTGTGTCTGTGTGAGACACTTTGCACTGACTTTGATTGGGGACCAAAGAATGATACAGATTTTCACACACCCATCACGACTCTCTGCACTTGTCTCTCCGTGGCGGCAGCTCAGAGAGAACAAACGTGTGTCTCAGGCCGCGCTGCGCCGGATCGCCTGATTTGTCTTGACTGTTTCCTCCTCCACAAAACGAACTGTGTCTCAGTATTGACAGAGAGGCAGACCGTGTCTCCGGTTGTCACATCCGCCGGACGGAGGAGACGCAAACGACAGGTTTGAATGGGTTTGGGTCATCATTATTTAGCCCGAAAGGATCAAAATGTGTGTGCATTCCAAAAGAAAATCAGAATGTGTGAGAAATGTGTGTTATAAAATTAAATTAAAATGAGACACAATAAGAACAAGATTAATAAAAGAGCATAATGGAAGAAATAAACAAACTGGCGAGTTTTTAAATGGTTTCTCGGACGCACTCGCTGTATTTGTGCTCACCATCAATCCTACGGTAATCCGCAGGAAGGATCCAGCGGTGGATTTTTGAAATCTGTGACCTTGTTTGTCCTTCACTAGCGTCAGACTGGTGGGTCCGTGTAAGGCTCCCCTCCCCACCACCCCTCTATCTGATCCATCACGCCACTACCACGGGTCCCCCCCTTCCCCTCGCCCCTCCCACTATCCCCCCGGCGGGGAGCGAGCTGCTGGGCGGCCTGGGTTTTATCTGCTATTATCTGTCAGACGCTGTGCACCTGTGAGCCCGGCTGCCCCTCTGCATGACGGGCGGCTGCGGTCGCTCGAACAATCCCAGCGGCGCCCCGCTGTCAGCGGCAGCGGCAGTGAGAAGTCCTCTGGCTGCCTCCGTCTCTCTCTGACAGCCACCCCCGGAGGAAAGGGGACGACGAGGAGGGAGGAGGGGGGGAGAAATACCATTAAGATGAGCTGTGTTCGCACAGACCAAAGCCTGCCCACCAGCCATGTGCAGGAGCTCACCTGGATGCCAGATAAGTGGAGATTAGAGGAAGAGACGCTGGAAACGGTATTAGAGGAATAAAAAATGGAAGCCAGCGACAGCTTTGATACTTTTAGGAATTTTTGTGTGACATTTGATGCCGACTTAGAAAGGGCACAGAGGGAGGACGGTCCGCGCAGCTCTGATTTCACCGCATCTATTGTTCGACTCGCTGTTGCCACTGTATAAATTACAGTTTTGTGAGTTCCCTATCCGGTTAGTGGAGAAATACAGTCTGGTGACAGGGGCAAGATCAATACAGGGCCGCAGTTGGAGGTAGAGCGGCCCTAATGAACTGAATTGACTCGTGCTGAAATCCGATCAGTATTTCTCTGGTGGCCATTATGTTCCTTATGAAGAAGATCAATGTCTCGTGGGTGGATCACTGAGTAAACACAGCATGGTGGCCAGGCCAGTGCTGACACCACTCTAAAAACGTAATGAGGGATTTAGTCACAATAAGGTTTGCTTCTGTGTGTGTGTGTGTGTGTGTGTGTTTGTGTGCTCCGTGTTGTCTTTTCCGTCTCTCGCTCTCAGTCAAAGGTCTCTCCTCAGGCCTTGCGGCATTAGTAGCTGATGTGCTGCTTGTATGAGACGGCGCTGTTCATTTCATGGGCTATCACTTTTTAAATTGGTGAATGCCTTCTTCACGGTTGATTAGTAATTCATGCAGAGCTAATTAAGAGGCATAATAAGAGAAAGATCGGTGACGTGCCGCCAACCAAAAATAGGAAAGCGGTTTCACCCCGGACTGTAAACACTTGTGATTGATCGTGGAGGCGCGTTGCCCATAAAAGACGTTAACGCTCCTCCGAATGCGTCATCTCGGAACCAGACACCCATGTCTTCATTTCGCTCGATGCTTTCCTAATCTTGGAGCGTCTTTCCAGAAAGTTGCCTTAATGATCCCTCGGTCCCAGCTGTCTAATGGCTGGCTTCGTCACTTCGCCGGGCCCGTCGTCCGCGTGCTGCTGCTCAGGCTGGCGCCCGCCGCTGCCAGCGACCGTCACGCACACACCTGTACCAGCATCTGTCCATGCTGCAGATTGGCACGGGTACCGGCTTTAGAGTGACTCCCTACGTGCCGTCAAGGCGACGGACACGAGCCTGTAAATTGCAAGATGTCTCCTCGTTTTCTTTCTCTCACTATATTTGTCTGCTACACGTATGTACCTTGCATGCCATGATCGGGGAGGAATAAAGGGGTCGTTTATTGTATCCATGTATCCGTTTGTCAGTGGGAACCTCTTTATGATTCCAGACGCAACGCTGCAATGATGACGTGTGTACCCGCAGTCTAATTCCATCATCAGCATCATTACTGCTATTATCCCGTGTCTCCCTTTAATACAGGCTAATGGATGACCAATAAAGATAGATGAGCCTGGCAGTGTGGAGCTAATAGGGAGGACATGATGTCTGGCTTCTGTCCTGACTCTACACTTTACCCGATCAACTGGCCCCCATAGAACCAAAGCATAGCTAAAATATAATGTTCTTTCAACTCCAATGAATCCCTGCGTCTTCAGCTCATCAGCATGCCGATAGTTTGGGCACACAGTGTCATTTAACTGATATTTAAAGTGTTGTGAAGAAGATAAGTTCTTACTAAATGCATAGTGGCACCGACTCCTCTCTAATTACAAGTGTATAGTCCTTTAACTGTGTGTGTTTATGTGTATTGTAGTGTTTATGTGCATGTGCGAGAGAGAGAGAGAATCAAGAAAATATGATGATACCACATTGTATGTCACTGACAAATGTAAATACATAAAATTGTTGCTATATGGTACACAAGAAAGCAGCACAAAACAGTGTTTTCAATCAAGTACTGAAGCTAAAGAAGAGCTCAGCTGGGCAGTGATGCAACATAGCATGAGATAATTACAGGGAGGAAAAGCGAGTGCATCGGTTAAGTTGTGAGACTTTTGGTGCATTAAAGTAGTTGTCAGGTAGCTGACGTCATGTACAGCACTTCATAAAAACTTCACCATCAGTAATAACATGGCGACAATGCAGGGGATGATTAAATGGAAATAAAAGACTGTGGTGAGTTTACAAAAGTATATGTTTAGAGTTTTTCATGGGGTTCTAATGACATTCTCACATACAGAAATGGTTGAGCGCAACGATTATTGTGTCTCCAGGCAGACTCAGATCTTTGGTGCACCGAAACGAGACTTAAGGAGAACGTTTTGGATTGAACCTGGCGCAGTAACACCGCGCTGTTCCCTGTTCACTTCAAAGACAGAAAGCTCCAGAAACTGAGCAGCACTTGACAAGCCCAGCCACGAGGACATGAGAGCCATCAAGCAGAAGCTTGGATTAGCAGTAATCCTTTGTTAGACTTGTTGAGAAGCTGCTCAAATCTCTTGTCCATCACTCACATTCCTGTTATAGTTTGTGAGGCTCTATCCAGGTATCGGTGCAAAGATGTATAGGAAATGGCCGTGGCACGGCCCTTAACAATTGTAATAATATTTAATAAACATGTTGCAAAATGTAGTTTCTGTAAATGTATATGAATGTTCAATTTTGACGTTATGCTTCTTCACAGAAAGGTTAAGCGAGCAAGTCTCACAATCAAGCGTGTGGCTTGGAAGTTGTAAAAAACAAAACCGTCCAAAATGTTGCTCCAATATCTAACATAAAATAACGTATCACGTTCTGGAAGTTACGGCGATTGTTTGTTGGACTCTGGAACTGGTCACACAGCACAATAAACAAACATCTTGGGGAAGCTGGCATTTAAAACAGGCCTAATCATAAATGAATGAAACAAAATATCAGAATTTTAAAAAATGCTCCGTATAGTTCTGCATCAGTTGCTTTTCAATTAGAGCAGCCGAAGCGGAACGAAATTGTTGGTGTCATTTATCGACTGTGGTGCTCTTCATTAGAGTAACAACTGAGAGAAATCCATCCTGTCTTTATAACCACCTGGCTTTCTTATAATAACAAAGAGTTCATTTCTGTCACCTGTGATACGATGAGCAGATGAAACTTGTACACCAGGAAACGCAGGAAAGACGCCTGTAAAATCTGACCAGGTACTCATTTTGGTGGCTTTTCTTACTTCAGTTCCCTCAAACAATGGGAATTTCGTAGGTGATGAAGTGAGAAGTGTCTAAATTGAGAAAGGTAACGGCCACTAATGTTGGAAACGTCTTACTAAATCACTAAAACAATGATTGAAATATCAATTTTACATACAGGGTATATTTGTTTCAAAAGTTGCAAGTAGAGAGGAATGTAAAGCTTTTTTAAAAGTATTATTAACCACAAGTGCAGAGGGATATTGTTTTGTTCAAATCATTATGGGGCAAATAGATCGAAACAGTTGAATGCTTCTGTATCTGAACATCTCTTAAGACCAAAGCTACTGTTACTGCGTCTATTACTTCTGCCTTGATGATCAACCCTGGTGATGTGGACCAGGCAAGACTAGCCGAGCGCAGACACCATCCCCCAACCCCCCTATGTGTATATTTTTTTAATACTTAGTGAGGAAAAACTGTCAAGCATATCCAAAGTGCAGGACCAAAGAGAAGAAAATAATGTATGCTTTTGTTAGATTCTTTGAAGACGATATGTGCTACGCGTTACCCGTTTTAAATGTCGAAGATTTCAGACCTCTGCACGAAACAGATTTTGATAATCAGAAGGTGTATCTGGTTCACAGAACTGAAGAGAATGGCAGCGCAGGCCAGCCGTGCGAAGCACAGATCCTTGCCCTTGCAGGTGAGTTGCCCTCTCAACGCATCCGCGTTTCTATTTTTTAATGATGTTTATCCTCCGTCCGACCGAGTGACGTTGACGTGCGCGAAACGTGTCAACGTGTCGAAGCGAGTCTTTTTGTTCCGATCTGTCAGGACGCGATCAGCTGGAAACTGACACCGATAGCCACAACAACGTCCTCGGCTGTGGCTAAGCTAGATGAGCTAGTCAGATATGCTAGGATAAGTTTGGGAGATAGCCATACCTCGTCGTTAATGCCTCACATATTTTGACACTCGGGGGGGGTCGTCTCCCAAGGGTCGTCTCTCTCGCTCCGACGTAGCGGCGCAGCTCGTTTCGCTAAATACGTGGCACGCGACGCTAGCCCCGGTCACAGCGGTTGTTTACAACATGTTTGCTAACGGCTGCTAGCTTGACGGGTGTTCGTTCCGCTTTAGCATTGTTAGCGCGGACGCGGCTAACAGTTAGCCGCGTGCAGACGCAAGGAGCTGTCACGACATGACGCACGTGTGGGACAGTCCGCGGTGGACCCCTTGTCGGTGTTTTGTTGTTGTTGGTTAAATGCAGGCGAGCCGCTGTAGCCACGGAGCCCCGGTGTGTTTGCGGTTAGCTCATTAGCCGGCTTATCAGCTGGTGTGTGCGACAGAAGGGATGCGGGTGCTGCAGTCCTCGCCGCTGTCCCAGATACTAATGGAGGACCACATGTAGTCTGTCAGTAATGTTTCCACATCATGTCGCGGGGCTGAACGCTGTAGCTCCAGGGAGGGTGATGTCTGCTCACGGGCGTTTTCTGTGCCCGACCATTGACTAGCCGCTAATCTCCGAATCTGAGCCGCCTCGAGCTGCGGTCCGATATAACGAACACCTTCACAGACGCTTTGTAACCAGGGCGTTTTGTGTCGCAACACGCTGTAACCGTGTTATTCTAAGAGGGCTACACATCTAGCAGAACGGAGAGACGAAACGCCCTCAGCTCGAGTTGGACAAATGCATGACATGATTCTGCAGGTACTTTTTGTGAGAATCCACCCAACTTTCTGTGGAAACTTTTTTTTTCTAAGTTTCTTCCTGCTTCTTTTTCTGCACTTCACAGATACAGTAGAGGAATTTGAAGACAGTATAATGCAAAAGAAGATGAAAATTCCCAAGATGTCCATCAAGAATTCAGGGAACTCTATCGAAAACAATTGTGAAGAAAGAATGCCACTCAGGCATAAAAAGGTAGGCACACTTAGATTAGACAGAACTGTTACCAGTATCATGACATTGAATCACACGGCCCCTTGATCCTGCTGACACAAAGCTCATCTATCAATGAAATAAAATGGTGCAAAATTGTTTGTGGGTGCAATGATCGATAACAAGTCACAAAGAAAATTCATAAACAAAGTAACTGAAGTATCTCACTCATATTGACAATATTGTCAGTGAGGAATTTTACCCCGAGGAAAAAAAGCAGTGTGTGCGTGTGGGCGCACGAGTATCACGTTGATGCCGGCACAGAAATAGTCTTGTATTTAAATACACCTATTCTTGATACAATTTAACATTTCCATAAACTTAGCTTGCACCCAAAATCCCCCACGCTATTTTTACCATATGCTGGATTAACACAAATTCAGCACTCTGGACAGCTGCCCTTTCAAAGACAAATCCTCTCAGCGGCTCATCAAAGGACTCAGTGACTCCTCTTCTCCCAGTTCCTACGGAGATCTGCACTGTCCAAACAAACCAACAAACTCCATGTCAGCTTGGCCTTCAAAAGTGTTGAATGCAATCACTGTTTGTCACATATGAAATCGCAGTGATGTCGCAAAGATTTGTGAAATTCTGGAAAAATGGTGTTAATATATTTAACTTTCTAGCTCTTAAAATTTAAATTCCATTTCACCGGCCTAAATAAACAGTTATTGCTTCCTTCAGGCCCTGTCTCAGGACCATGGACGTCCCCTTTCCAACTCCTCCAAGAGCCTCGCTGCCGTAGTGGCTCGCCTGGAGAGAAATGCGGCCAGCTGCTGTGTGGAGGGCGAAGAGGACCTGGACGAGGACCGGCTGGCTGAGGAGGGAGAGGACGCAGACGACGAAGATGAAGACATGGAGGGAGAGCATCACCATAATCATCATCATCATCATCATCAACAGCAGCATTTGGAGGTGGACACGGATTGTGTGTCTGGGGCGGTTCCAGCAGTGGTTCCCAGAGTTCTGTACGAGGAGCTGGTTCATAGCTACAGGCAACAGGAGGAGGAGATGAGGAGGCTTCAGCAGGAGCTTGAGAGAACCCGCAGGCAGCTGGTCCAGCAGGCCAAGAAGCTGAAGGAATATGGCAGTTTACTGACGGAAGTCAAAGAACTGAGGGACTTCAACAGGAGGCTGCAAGACGTACTTCTCATGAGACTGGGCAGCGGTGAGAGGCCAGGAGCACGCACACCCAACACGCCAAGCACCGCAGTGTATTCAAAACAACTTCTGCAATACATCTCTCTAATCTTAGAAAGTAACATCTGTATAGCCAGAATATGCCGTCCTTTAGTATTGCTTTTGAACTTATGGTGACCCTATAAATACAGATTACAGCCGTTATATCCAAGAAGATTCTAGATGCTGGGAAAAGGAAGGGGTGTGGAATGTCAGTTATTTATAAAATAACCTGTTTTTTTGTTAATACACTCTTCTACAACTGCTGTTATTATCCAGCAATGGTAAAGTAGTGAGTCCAATACAGGAAGTTAAACAAACTCACTTTAAGTTTAATTAAAAGTGGTGTCATTGCATTGAGCAGCAATGTCCCCACCCAAGCTTCGCCAAAGGCTGCCGTTTAGCTCAGCTCCCATGTAGATCTGGACAGGGGCGCCGGACGGGACCTTCTACTGGACAGGCTAAAGATTAGAGCGCCCTGGGGTGCTGTTGGACAGGGGATGGAGTGCACTGACGGATATTACAACTCATCAGCTATATTGGAGCTCAGCATGGCCAGCCACCAAGCCAGCTTAGTTACTGGGCTAAAATAACTGGCACAAGGAAGCTCGCTCAAGGCGGGGGGCAAACAGACAGACAAGCAGGTGGGGCGTGTAACAGTGGTACGATGCCTCTCGCCTGATATCCTGATGACTTTTTGTGGCAGTAGATGGTGGCGTTTGGCCCGACGACACCTTGAAGTGCTGTCGGACGTAGATTTGTGGCCGGTGTTTCCATAATATTAAATGTTTCCTTTGTCTGTAGAGCCTATGCATGACAATGGCACTCAGACAATCAAGGCTGAAGTGGTTGAACCCATTGTTGAGGCCCAGGAGACATGCCGAGAAGAAGCCAACACCAGTTCCAGCTACTCCCCCTCCCCCAGAACAGTATACACCTGCAATGATGGGAAGGTAGGTCAGAGGGACGTTTTTTATTACCAGCCGCCGCAGCAGCATCTGGCCTGTTGGCGTTTTCACCTTGTGCGTCCGTGCTTGTGTGTCATTGTGAGAAAATGTGGTTCCGGCAATGCCCGCTGTTAACCAGGTGTTTGTATGTCGGTCTGTTTGTGGACAGATTTTGATAATGCAAGAATATAAATGGGGCAAGTGTAGACGTAGGTGTAGGTCGAGGACAGGCCGCTGTAGTGGCCCCTTCCCCATTACACGCACTAGAAAGGGTACCGTCTGCTCTGAATTCCAAAACGGAGGACTGAAAGATGCCGTCACTCAACCGCTGATGGACAGCTATTTGACATTCGCTAACTATCTGACGTCTGCTAGTGTTGTCAATAGCTAGTAATTTCATTAATAGGCTATTTAAATTTCTCTCATATATTTGAGTAAACCTGTATGTGATATGGTCAAATGTTAAATTACAGATGGGGACATTCCACCTTTACTTAAAGAGTATCCCATTAATCCTGAATCCTTTTAGTCCCATCCCTGGCTCTCTGCCTGGGGCTGACTGTGGGAAGCTGCCTGGCGCTGTAGGAAATGCTGTATTTCCTCTTAACAACTATGGACCCGAGAACATGCTCGTCATAGTTGATCAGTCCGACCCCCCTCACCTGACCTCCCGAGGCCACCCTACCCTGGCAGGTAAACAAGGTTGAGGAGATTATTATTGTTCCTGCAAGCCCAGCCGGCATCATCAGTGTTTATTAGCCTGTTAGGGTTCTTAACTCCCACCCCCCACCGCTGTAGATCAACCAGCGTCCTGTCTCTCATGACAGGGGGGGGAATTGGTACTACAAGCTGTGGGGCCTGCAGCCACTCCAAGCGTGAAGAACACTTGCAAATTAGAACTCTCCCACATCCAGGACTCTGTATTAATTATTTGCACGAGAGGAATTTAAAGTGACTGACAGGTTAGCCCCCTTGACAGAATAAGGGGGGGGGGGGGGGCAGAGAGGTAAACGAGCGAGCAATGGGGGGCGGATGAAAACAATCCGCACTAACTTAGGGGCAGTCAAAAGCTCGTCTGATGGCCAAGGGCCTAAAGCACATTAGCTGCCCGGGGAAAAGCCTTTTGGAGGTGAGCCTAAAGACTTACCAGTGATAAGAGAGTCGAGATGGGAGAGTCACATATGCGTCCTGCTGTATCAGCTCACCTACAAACAGCTCACCGGGGGGGGGGTCCGGGCCACCAATGACTCCGGGCCATCGGCCGGGTTCTGCAACGTCCAATGGAAGTGTGTAGAGAGCTGCGAGCCCTGATCACAGTGGAGCTTAATCCAGGCTACATGCAGCCAGTGGCCCGAGCTTCTTCACGTAATCCTGTTGGTGAAAGTGGTGCTTCTTGGGGTTTGTTAGTCACAGTGACGCGCTGTGATCTCTCGCGTCCATCTAGCTTTTACACCGACGTGTCGCATTGATGGTCGCCGAGACTGGATTTTAACTCCGCTTTGACGGCGCGATAGCTCAGTGTTTTGTTTTAGTGCATCAGTGGCGGCTGCCTGAGAGGTTATATCACAACTGGTGATATCACAACTGGAGGGTATTTCTTCAGTGAAATGAAGGCGAAGAACAATAGTGGAGGCTTTTCTCGATGGAAAAGACGTTTCCGCTCTGCTTCCGACTCGCTTCAGTAAGTCTGACCAGACGTTTTTTATACGATCCTATTTCTTTTGACAGCGCCTTCCTTCTTTTCCAATGACGGCTTCTCAGATTGGTTCTGTGTAGCGAACCGTCTGGCGAGTCAGGACACCGCTTGGTAACTTTTGTACTTTCGACCCGTGCAGGTGCACCTCGGTGGAGGGATCTGGGTGGAGGAGGAGAAGTGGCACCAGCTACAGCGCACACAGGGAGACTCAAAGTTCACAAAGAACCTGGCTGTCATGATCTGGGGCACAGAAACCCTCAAGAACCGTAGTGTCACTGGAGTGGCCACCAAAAAGAAGAAAGATGCACTGCCCAAACCGCCGCTGTCACCCAGCAAGCTGAAAATAGTCCGAGGTAAGAAACTCCAGTTTCAAAGCTAGAACATCTCAAAGCCAGAGTAAAGATTTTCTCTTTTTTTATAAATACTGCCTTTTCATCATCGAATCATTTAATTAGATTGTCAACCAAGATGAGATCAGCAAATTTTGAATTTGATGTCGTCTGACCACCCGCACTCACTCCTTCCGCAGAGTGTCTCTACGACCGAGTGTCTCAAGAGACAGCCGACAGTGCAGAGATCACGCAGAGATTGTCCAAAGTGAACAAGTACATTTGTGAAAAGATAATGGACATCAACAAGTCCATCAAGAACGAGGAGCGGCGGGAATCCAAGCTGCTCATCAGACAGACCGTGAAGATGGAGAACTTCACCTACGACGGCATGTAGTGACCCGCTCGCTGTTGTCACGCCAGCACCCCCCCCGCCCCCCCCGCTCCTCCCTCCCCTTCCCCTCGGTGCCCAGTGTTCCCATTGGCTGACAGACAGCTTTACCCACCTGTGAGAAGTGGAACACGTGTGAACTTGTTGATGTGAGCTGGTATGAGTGCTTTTTTTTATAAGCTTTCGAGTGGGATCGGTACAGAGACGCGTGTGCATTTGTGTCAAAGAGCGGATATGACGTAGTTGTTCAAATTGATTTATTGTTCTGTGTCAGAACATAGCTTTGAGTCCTTTTTCAACTTTTAAAAAGTAAGAGGTTATTTCCCTAGATAAAGTCTTCTGATTCTATAAAGAAAATGATGCTAGCTTGCTTTAGATCTTAGACGTGTGGTCAGTCTTAATTGGTAACAGCCATATTGTATTTTGTAGCAGAGATTCTGTTGCTCCAAGAGATTCATTATAAGTGTGTGTGTGTGTCTCCTTAACTTGAGGTCGGTCGCAACACGTTGTTTTATTAAAAAAGGCTAACGGAGGTAAAACGGGAAGTCTAACTGTAATGCACGGCCTATAGAGTGCTATTTCAGTTTCTTATGCCGACCTTTCAGTTGTGAGAGTTTAGAGTTAATCAAACAAGTCACTTTCAGACCATTTGACTGTTTTAATGAGTTGTGGTGGTCGAGGCATGCCGATGCCTCGAAGGGCCTTAAATGGATTTGGCAATCACCAGGCGCTGGGACGCCCCTGGGTTTTCTAGGAAGCTGTGATTGTATATGTACAGTAAGAGGAAGGCGAGGAGGCTTCGCCCGCACTTTGCTGTGAGAACGAGAGAGGTGGCGTGGTCCTATTTTCTGCCCTATTCACACCGTTCAGTTGATCCGACTTTCCGCCCTCGCTCTCGTAGTTAGGAGATGCTGCGCTGCACGGGACGAGGCCAGGAGGAAAATCACGGCTTTGCGCGCTTGAGGTCATCCATATACGCTGTTAGTTGTGGGTAAAGCTGTCTGAAACACTGTCGTGCTGTTTGTGGTCACCTGGGCCTGCCGAACCCCGTAGTAACCCCCTCTTTCTTAAAGGCCACGCCATCGGGGAACAATGTAAGGTTGCTCCAGTGACGGCTTCCTCTGAGCTACGCCATCAGAACTTTGAAAATGTCCTCTATTTCTTGTATTCCTTTTTTTTTTTTTAATCCCGTCAGTTGTTTATTGTTTTGATCCTAAATGGTTTGTGTGGCTGTCTGCAGGCTGGAACTAATGCTGCGGATTGAAATCTCAACTGTGACCTAGCTGTGGCTAACTGTGAATCTGCTGCAGAACTGCCCATCAAGCCTCTCTCCTCTTCATACTCTGGATTCTCGTTGGTCTGTGGGTTTATTTCTGTCTATATCATTTTGTCTCTTTTTTTCTTCAAAAAGTTCAGATCAGCCTTTTTGTTAAGCTACTTTATGTTTTGGAGATATTTTAATATACATATACATTTGTATTTCAGTTTCTTGTCATGTTAAATGTTACCGCTTTAAAGGTTCTGGGCAAGGTTCTTTTTATCTCATTGATGTTGTAATTCCATGTTACCTGTCAATCTATTGTGTTTCTTTTTACACTTGCATATTTTTCATATGAATTGTTGGCTTTAAGCTTGATGTTGTATCCAAATGTGGGTCAGTGAAATTTACAAACAAATGAAAAAAAATCTCCCTTTTTTTAAGTCATCTTGTGGAACATGAGAGACTGAGCATCCCTTAACGGAGCCCTTACATTAAGTTCCATTCACAACATTTGCTATTTAATGAGCCTCACTTAGAGTCAAACCTCTAACTATCTACCACAGTAATTTACTTAGTTGAAATGCAGTAGTTGGATCAACGAAAAACCATTTACATTGAATGCACTTTAAACTTCTGGGCAATTTCTTTGATCTTAATGAAATGTATTTGTGGTATTTGTCCTTTTTTTTTGTAAATGTCTATATAGATAAAGGTTAACAAGCATTGTATTATCATAAGGCACCTTAGAGCATTTTGGTTTATTGTTTTTAAATGGAAAGAACGAGTTATGGGACATAGTTTTGTTTTGCCTGTCAGATATGCCCTTGACATACATTGATCGGTTTAATAACTACAACTCGTAAATAATACTACTAGTATGTCTGAGTAATTCACTCTGAACAAACCTAGTTGGCAAATTGACAAACGGAGGTCCAAAACTCATCTTTGCTTTTAAGCGCAAAACGTGATTCACCAATCGAAAGATATTTACCTATGAAATGTGCAAGCTGACTGGAATATCTGCTTTAACTTAATGTGTGACGGTGCTGGGTTGTCCATTGACATGATTTGTACAGAGAGAATTGTGTATTTTTTACAAAGGAATGGTAATTGTAAGCCAAAGTATTGAATGCTGAGATCAAGCTAAAGAACGGGGACGCTGGCTGAGGAACCAGTGAGGTTTGCACAAAAGACGGCCCATGCCAAGGTAACAGAGCCAGCCAACATGGTGACATATTATTTTTCTGGCTTCCTAAATAATATCCCTTTTTACATTTTTTGTTTTTTCACTGTACAAAGCAACATGTGAGGTTTCCGTGCGCTGGCATGTATTTAAAATACATGCCGTTCAAAAGAAAAAAGATTTCCGCTGTGCAAAGCAACCATGCTGAAATTCTGACACTTTGTTGTGCTGTGTTTGTGTTTGTTTCTTGATGCCAAAAGGGGGTGTGGTTAATGCTTTAAAATGAAGCATTAATAGTTATTACATCATCTGAAATGTATTTTCAAATGCTGGGTTCCTGGAGCGCGATTAAGCCTAATCCTTTAACTAAAACCTTCTTTCATGGAAGCTGTATGGAAGAATTGTGTGATTTTAAACCCAGATTTGGCTTAATCTGCAACGGAAAGGCCAATCTCTCTAAGATGTACCAAGTCACTTGCAGACGAGCAGTTTGGGTTTTCACAGCGTGTTGGTAACGCTCACCATGCAGGATAACGGCTGGTTACGTTCTGTGGCGTAACGCCGGGGGAGGACCTGGAACCTCGTTGGCCCTGTGATCCCCTTCCTGCGCCGCCTCCGGTTTCTCACTCTCCCGTTTCCGTGGACTGGATTCTGTGTATCGAGATAGTAGCGAGTCCTCTCCTCAGCGCTTTGTGTTTTGGTATTTTGTCGTGGACGCGTCAAAAGTCGAGGAGCTTTGTGTTGCTTTTCGACAGTTCGTTTCGGGGAAAAAGGTCACAAGACTAACGGCTTCATCTGCGATGTGTACAGAAAACACGGTTTGAGCCTCAGATACAATGTCAAACTTATTTCAAATGAGAAAAGGAAGAGCATTGTTAGGCCTATATTTTTCTTAAGGTACCAGTAACTTTGTATACAATCCACAAACCGGTTCTACTTCATCTGACTTCACCGTCCTACCTCATTGTTACTCTGGTGTTTGTTTGTCAGTGACTGTAAACTATGTGTGTATATTTAAAAAAAGAAAAAAAATCTATAGTAAAGGTATATCTGGTTACTCTCAACATATACAGCATATAAAACTCAACAATATCATACTTAGGAGGAATCAGTTGTAATACCTGCTTAAAGATGCTGCTGTAAAGGGGTATCTGCGTGAGGGGTCGTCTCTGAATATATATCTTCGCTCTTTGCTACGTTGTGCAGTTGATCAGTGGTTGTGTTCAGTCTCTGTATCGCATTCTGAGATTTTTACTGGTTGACGGTGCTACCAGCAAACAGTTCAAGAACTGATCTGTCTATCGGACCTCAAATGGTGCTGTTTTTCTATGTTATTATCCTCATACAGCTACGTTTTATTCAGGTGTGTCAATTGCTACTATCCCCTCAGCTAATCAGATTTGAAGCCAAAATGTTTCACAAACCAATAACTCCTGCTATTACTGTATTAACTATATGCTATCCATCCAAATATTGTAGATAGTGATTATATCCTCAGCTGTGAGTTCAGAAGTACCTCACAACTTGCTGATTTTCAATGGATGCATCTGCTTCTAGCACCTGTTGTCTACCAATATTACGTTGTTGTATTTTCAGAAATGTGTATTTTTACTGGGTAGATCGGGTTTCACTACACATAGAACATGATAACACACGCAAAAGAACAACACATTTTAAGGATACCACTGTTTACTGGTTTCTTGCCAGATTGTGATAAAAGAAAATGGCCTCGACCGGGCAGCCTATGTTGAAGAGGTCCTCAGCAAAACCATGTTCTGTTCGAGTCAGCGTTACGTTTCGTTTACAGAAAAGAGATTCCATCGGACGTTGTGTGAATGGTGGAAAGATTTGATCCGTTAGAAAACTATTGCCCCGTTTGGATTCAAATCCATCCACCAAAAAAACGCAATGGAGAGAAAAAGTCTTCATGGGCAGTTTTGGAATGATTGATTTCATCAAGTTACCACTTGAATCTTCCCCAGTTGCGTGTCTGTGTCCCTAATGGTCATTTCCTGTGTTAAAAGGAAATGTCTTACTGTGAGCTCAGGCTCAATTCACGTAAAGCACTGTTAAGTTTCTGGACTTGGCATAATCATACAAAAAGTGCATTATATTGTGTTTCGAACCTGTACAGTGACACCAATGGAATCTTTTCTGCGCCAAAGTATTGTTTTGGGGTAGTTTGCTCCGTCGATGTTTGTTTAGTTGTTTTTCTTACTCTCACCATGTCCGTGAAGATGTGATGTGCTGGGGGACTCCTCTCTTCCGTGGTCATTGTATGTGTTCAAACGCTCAGCAGGTGGTTTTCATGGAAGCACTTAAGCCATTCGTTGGACTGTTTTATAACGGCCCAATTTCAATCTTCGCTCTGGTCCTCGGGAGTCGACCCGGAGAGTTTTGTGTGTAATCGAATTCCTATGCAGGTGTTGAGTTGTGATCACCTGGCACCACATCACTGTTGGGTGGAGGGCCAACCAGGGACGGAGATCAGCGGAGAGCGTTCAAACCTTTTTTGAATGTGTCGGCACCAGCCTCGAGACTGAATCGAAGGGGACAATGGCGACATGACAAATCCGTGCTGAACTATCACTGCATTTTCGTACTCACGGGGTGTAATTAGTCTGAGCCATACGGGGCTGCTTGGGTATATATCTGTCTGTACTTGTAACTGCATTGCAATGATCACTGGGGAAAGACAGGGTTACTGGATGTTTATCCAGATGGTGTGATAATGTGAAAAGAATTTCAAGACTATTGCAGTAAACACTCCCTCGCCCTACTTCAGCCTCCCAGAGGCAACGGTACGTTTTAAGTGATTTAATGCGATGAAGAGTGTACATGTCTTTGCTAAACCGGCCACACCTCTGCTATGCGAGCAACTCTTTTGACGCTTAGCATCCTGTTCTGTGTTTTCTCTCGCTGCGTTCAGGAACACCTGTTTAATGTATGGACAAACAGAAATAAATCAATTTATTCTATCAGCACAAACCTCTTGTCTTCTTCGTTGTCTTTCCCTGCCTGGGGATCGTTTGTCCAACATTCAAACTGCTTTTCAAGATGAGTCACTTTTTAGAAACTGAAGGCTCAAGGAGATAATTTTGTGTTAACTTTTTAATGTGGAAAATACTGAATGTATAAAAACTGTGGGTAAGCTGTAACGTCCTTGGGGCTCGCCTGGCTGTTTCTCCCTGTTTTTATTCAGTCTTTGTCTAGTTTAAGCTAAGCTAACTAGACATTTCCAAGGTGGGCGGAAACTCTCCTCAAACTTTCCGCCACTTAAATGGTAAATCTGTGTACCCTCGCTGTGTTGTTGACATTAATAACTTATTATCTAAAGTTAAAGGAGTACTTTGTTTCCACTCGTATCTTTAACCTCTTATGTGTATTTTTTTAAATGACCAGATTGATGTTAAATCTGCTCAATAGCTTTCAGCACAGAATCTACCTCATGCCTTTGAAGTATTTTTAGACTGGAATAGCACTTAACAAAGAAGAAGTTTTCATTTTTTAATTTGATGGCCATGTTTGCTTTACGGCTTTTGAAATCCTCAATGACCTGAAGGCTAATGCAAATCTCTCCGCACACGCAGTTACCCGGTTGACTTTCAATTTAAATGCAAAGATTAAAATTACAGTTTTGAGTTTTCAGTACAATGGTAATTTACTTTTTAAACATCTCGCCCGGCAGTCTGACGCCGTGACGACGGATTTCTAGACGGACTGAGGCAGATGAGCTCTGGTGTTATTTCTCTCAACAACTCATTCCTTAGAGGAATCTGCCCCAAGCGGTTTGACCACATATAAAATCAATTTCGTCTGTAAAAAAAAAAAAAAATACCACAGGTGAAAATTAAATTATTCGGAGACCCCTGTAACTTTGGGCAATGTGTTCTTAACGCCAAACAATAAACCGAAGACACGCAGATTTACCAACAAAGTAGCAGAAAGTTTGAGGAGAGTTTCCGTCCGCCTCGGTTTGTCCAGAAAAGAGCAATAGTTTGACCTTTTTGGGAAACCTAATTTTCTCTCCTGCAGAGAGTTCAATGAGAAAATCAAAACCTCTCTGTTAAGTGTGCAGCCACGCTCGATAGCTAGTTAGCTTAGCTGCGTTAGCCACGTCTGACACCATAACGATCGGCCCCCTTCCCCCTCACCTCCCTTTTCAAGTTTGTGTTTGATTTCGTCATCACGTGTGTGCGTCTGCGGGGAAGGCGAGGGGATTAAACAGGCAGATTGTTCTCAACGTCGGCCGCGAGATAACGCGCTCACTCTGCTGTACTGGTTCGTTCACCCGCCATGCCGCTGGCCTGCTTGTCGGTGCCGCGCCGGTGATTGGCGGCCCTGTATCTTAACACGTGCCGTGTCCAAAACCATATTGCAATATCAACCGAGCTGCATGAGAGCAAGATAAGACAGAAAATGTGAGTGTTGACATATGAGATTGCTTGTAAGATGGCTTGTTTGGAGAGGCTGGTATCTGAAATGAGCCCCGACACTGAATGCTGGATTTTCTTGAGTCCACACTGGGATCTCATGGGAGCGCGGCCACTGTGAGGGCCACTTCCTCCCTCCTTCCTTAGACTGCATATTCCCTCATCCAGCCATCCCTCTCCCCTGCCTGCCACACTAATTCATTTCCATATATTATTGCCTCTGTAAGCAACTGTGTCACGCTCGCAGACTTTTCCTGCAGCCCGAGGGGACTTCTCAATGTCATTATCGCCAAAGCCTGCCACGAGGCCGTAATGTATTGCCGCTTGGCTTTATTGGCAGCGCGATGATTCAGTTCTGGTGATGATGGATTAGTGCCGGGCCGGGCTGAGCAGAGCCGGTCCAGACCGGGTTAAAGCTCCGCAGCCTTCGCTGTCTGTCGCATAAACACTGTTTCCTCCTCACGCCCTGCAGCACAGAGGAAGACATATCGTATTTGTGTCACACACACAACCTAATGAATACGGTCATTTCAGCGCTTTTATTGAGCTTGTCGGCAGACTCTGATTCATCTTGTTCACCTTTCGCTTCTCGCGCAGATCCGGTGCGCACACAGCGCCGCCGCGTAAGAGGTGGCAGTGATGCGCTTGCCTTATGACATTGTTATTGTTTTGAATGTGACGATGTAAAAGCTTGTCACGTTATCTCTGTCCCCAGGATGTTGAATCATACGTTATCTTCCCTACTTGCTACCATCTCTGCTGCTCTGTTAATCTGAGAAGTCACCGCAGGGTTTACAGACAATGCGTTGATTGGGATTAATTCAGCCTCCTGCGCGGGTAGTGTACGTGGAGGAGGCTTTTCCGCCCATGCTCCTCAGATACCTTACGTTTTTTTTCAGCCCTACTTATCCACCTGCATTGTCAGTTAACTGGATGAATGAGAAGATGTGCTGGTGGGTCATGAGTGACGCTGTTAAACTTCTCGCCGCTGCCAGCAGTCATTCAGATGTCCTTATCATCTTTAAGAAGCTTATTTGGCTTGTTCAGTGATGAAAAATGGTAACGTTTGGAATCCATCGGTCCCTCTCCAATGCAGAAATGAACACACACGCACACACACACACACACACACACACGCATATTTAAGCACAGAGCTTCCAAATGGCCTCTATTAATGCAGACTGCTCTCCCAATTAACAAGATCCAAAGTGATGATGAATGTTTCATTCTCTGAACATTTAAGCTAATTACGGCCCAAATGAAGCCGGTTCCAGTGAATCACCATGGCAGCCAAAGTCACAGTCACAGTGTCACTCTGCACCAGCAGCCTAATCACTACGGCCGCTTAATATTCATCTCCCCCCGCCGTCCCCCGTCCTGACTCACCTCACCTCTCCTCACGTATCCTCCTCTTCTCTCCTCCCTCTTTTCCTCTTGTAGCTTCCGTCCTCCGCTCAACTGTCCTCCCCCACCTGCCGTAGATGTGTTGTTTCAAACGGAAATCAACTAATTGCTCTAATAGCATTTTAATGATAATTTAATGTAGTAAATAAAGCTTGTTACAAGCTTTGCAATTTTGCTGGATTTCAAGGGCAACAAAGCGTGTCCGATACAATCTGGTCACCTCCTCGACGATGGCTGTGAGATGTCTGCAGTGTGCTCACGATATGCATGTCAACGTCGATGAATCCTCAAAGATAGTCTGGTGGGAAAGATGCCATGCTCCGCGCGGCGTCAATGGACTATTCAAATCATTTGCCTGAGACCAGAGCTCTGCGAGTCCGACAGGGCAAGCCTCTGTTTACATTATCCTGTTTGGATCTTCTTGAGATCCAGCGCTCTATGTCAGTCTTATCGGGGCCGTAGGAAAGAGACGAGTGGGTTTATATTTCCCTCGTTGCGAAGCAGCAGCTGATTACAACCAAAGAACATGTTCATGTTGAACATCTACGGCACTGAATTGTTATCTGCACCCATTCTGTAAACTCAAGATAACTTCTACATACACTCTTATTTCATTCGTCACTGTTTTTATCCCCTTCAGTCATGTGGTCTGTTTAGAAACAGAAACTTTATGGAGGCGGTTCACGCCGTTTTCTTGTTTGTTGTTCTTTGTATTATCATAATCAATTCTCCTCACAAAATTAACATACCTGATCTGTTTCAAGCCCGCTTAGCTTTGTGAGTCATTGGTGCCCATAAAAGAGATTAGATTTACCTTGAAATCAAAGATGAAGTAGTTCAATTTGCATTTGGATTCTTCGGCACATTTCTATCCACCATTCCCCCAGATTAAACATATTAAAAATGATGAGGAGCTTGAGCTAGAAAAGAGAAAACGAATAAACAGCCGTAAGACAGAAAAACAATTTAATTTCTCTTTTTATGTTCTACCAGTGGTCATTTAGCCAGACTCTTTATTTAAATGGTAATGTGAAGCTGGCTAAACAGGCAAGGCGAATCAGCCTGAGAAGAGAGCCAGACTTCAAATAAGCGCCTGTGTTTCAGGCTCGGGGAGTTTATCTCGGCTTTTCCTCCTGTCGCCTGACGGAAAGAGGCAGAGTGGGGAGCCGATTGAGCGACAAGGATAACTCTTCTCGGTGTTGGAGTATAATTAATTAGGTGTGATAAATTATACCATTTCTAGCAAAGCCTGGCAGCACGGCCACACACTCTAACACACACACACACACACAAATACTCAAATAAGGGTTTACTCTTTGTCCCTTTGTTTTCACACATGCATGCGCTCACACACAGCAATGCATACTTTGCTAAACAATATAAAATACACGGGGACATACCTGCATCCAGCAGATTAGCATTTTTAGTTTCAATGAAATGTTTTAACATATGTCAGGATCTCCGATCCCCCCGAGTTGGTTGATGAGAAGAATCGCAGCACGTTAAACATTTATTTAGAAGAGAAAAAGATTACATGAGCAATTCTCCGCAGATATCTGGCTCTAACTATTGCTTGCCAGCAGGAGGTCCAACACACCAGCACGTATCTCAGCGCTCGGTGTAATGGCGTCTCCGAGCAGTAAGAACGCTGAGTTTTTCTACACATGTGAAGGACATTCTCCGTGCCAGTTACGAGAAGCTACAAAGCAGGTTGAGATAAGAACCCAGGTGAAGCTGAGGGTAGCGCACACACACACACACACACACACACACACACACACACACACACACACACAAGACCCTCCTCAGTGGCCGGTCCAAATCATAATTGACGTAAAGTAAAAATGTGGATCCGGAACTTTTGTACCGAATCAGATATGAACCAAGGCCGTACACAGAAGTCCTTTGTTTTGAAGCGTCTATGAGATCGAGTTGACCGTCCTCCCTTCTCAGGACACAGCTGCAAACTAACGTTTTGTATCATGCTGCTCGTTGCACATCAGGGTCAAATACAGGACACTTGAGACACGGCTGTTGCACAAAACAATGTTATAATATTTTTAACCAGTACATGCATCTCACACATAACAACCCTGTACAACATTTTCTACCTTATTCACTACTAAGACCTTCATGCTCTGATAACAAGCA